TTGGAATCAATTCTTACAAACTGGCGCCGTCGTAGGAGGATCAATATGCATTTTCGGCAATGGCCCAGCAACACGCTCTACCTTGACCAGAACCGGAATGACAGCACCCGTCGCCAGCGCAAACTTCCGGTGTCCCGTGACCTGCAAGATACTCGTAATGACGCCTGAATGTGCCGTCAAAGAGATAAACGTGTTTTTGTCGTGAGTGAAGATGTCCTGGAGTAAGTCGCGAAGGCGAGCGTCACGCGCGGTGTCGGACTCCCGTAGCTTTGGATCATACAAGGGGTCTTCCTCTGCGAAGCCATCTTCAATGATGTACTCGGGGTACTCGGCCTGTATGGCTATTTTCGACGACCGACTGTCGCAGGTGTGAAGACCGATCGTTTCTCGGAGGAGCTGCTGATGTAAGTTTTCATGACTTATGAAGGTAATACCGTTGACGTACCTCTTTAACGACCGGGCGGAAGGGCTCCGTATGCGGCATCTTCAGGCCGCGGAACGTGATATTGGCGGTAGCCAGGCATCGGTTCAGCGGACTCACGTAGTACGATTGAGGGAATGGAATCTTGTTCTCGATCTGCGTCTCCCAAGCCCGGTGCGCGGTTTCCGCCTGTGCTATGCCCACAGGAGTGAGACGGGCGTCCACCCATGTCCCGTTGTCGTCGCCGTCGAGAAGGGACCAATAGCACTGTAACAGTCAATCGAGCCCCAATAAGCAGCCTCAGGTAGAGGGTATCAGCGGAAATACTTACATCCCATGCTTCTGTTCCATAGCGGCGCTCGGCGACATTGTGGTATCCTTCTCCATGTCGGCCAAGGTAGAGCAGTCTGTAGCTTGTCTCGGGGTCGCTCTCTGCATTGAGCTTGTTAATCTGGTACTCAAAGCGCTCCCATTGGGTTCTGCGGCCGTCTAGATCAAACTCGGCGTCCGAGTCATAGCTTCGAGGTATTAAACCAAAGTTTGATGCGACCTGGTCAGCATCAGCTAAGTCTGCAGGTGATGGCAATATTTCAACAGCAGCTCACATAGTCGAAAGTGTCCGGATCAGTCGTCGGCTCATCTTGCATGAAATACCCGGTCACAGTGTTCAGCCTTAGATGCGACTCGGATGTAATTGATTCAGCCATCATCACCAAGCCAGCTACAATAACAGTGACTACAAGCAGGAACGGTCTGGATGGTGTCAGTAGGGGAAAAGCGCCGAGGGGTGAGCACGTGCATGATGAAAGATATTTGAAAGAACGGTTGGAAGCCAAGTGCCTTCGGATGATTCGAATGCGGCCCTTCACTTTCATGTGGAGGCTGATATTGTAGCTCGTTGCCCTGCCTCGGTGGGCGACCTGTGGAGGGACGCAGGGGGATCATATCCAAGTGCCCGTGCGCTTCATCGGCCACGGGCTCTGGTGCGTGTGGGGCAATCAATCACCAGCTAAGACTGGACCAGGTGAGTTATATATTCATTCGTTCATCCCAAATTCAGAACGAGATTGTGAGAAGGATGGGAAATAAGTAATTGCCTAGGGTAGGCGGTTGCCAATGATCAATTGAACCCATAGAAAAGGACGCATACACGTGTCGATGTTCAGGTGAAATAGAAGACGTCACAAGGGCATTTTCTAAAGGTACCCGACTTAGTAACTATAGGGAAGTCCAGAAATGTATATTTCAGTATTGTACAATGTGAGCCCACTATCGGCTCAATTCCTTAGACCACAAACGGTGTTGGCAAGCCAATGACCTCGCATCACCAAGAGTAGATAGATGTGCGAGAGGAAACGCTGAAACATCCGCTCGACGGAGAGTGCTTTCAGAAATCTAGGAAAATTACAAGGAAACGAACAACGCCGATAACAACCCATCAAATCGCCTGGTCATGGCTATAAAACAACGAAGCGAACGAGTCGATCACCAGCTATAGTACTGGTTCTGCGCGGTGATCTTCCGGTCCGGAAGCTGGGTCCAGAGTTGGGCTTTCCGCTTGCGCACTGCCTCAGCCTCACGGTCCTGCCACTCTCTGATCCGGGTATTCTCTTCCTTGAGCAAGACACTCAGGGAAGTGTAAGGGGGCCGCAGCCGGTTAATCTGGCCTCGAGCACGATGGTCGTAGTCGACTCCATATGGACCTCGGTTGACCCAAGCCTGGGCAATGTAGATTGATGAAGGGTTGGTGATCGTTTTCCGCTCACCAGTTTTGAGAGTGATGGTGATCGGTTTCTGTTCTGCGGCGTTGCCCAGACCCATACCTGACCGAACAATGGCAACGTTCTTCGCGTGCTCGAGGTGTTCAAGAACGTCCTTGGCGACCTTCTTCTTACTGAAGCGCATCTGTAACATAGCCTCGTCGATATTCTTTCCCGCGATCTGACGTGCAAGGGGTCCCAGCTTCTTCACGGACGTCTTGAACCAATGGGACTTGGATAGTGACTCGCGCTCCGTTCGCATGATCTGCTCGGTCTTCGTTAGACGACCCCGACGACGTACTTCCCGAACAATCATCTTGCGCTCCCAGCGCATCCTCGCCTTCGGACGAGGATCGAGCACGGTCGCCATGGTGATACGGTTTCGGTTTTCCACCTCCAAATTGGCTTCCTCCTCACCCTCCGCCGCTTCGGTGGCTTGTTTGCGTGCTACTGGCGTCCGACCGGATGCAATAAGCTTCGGGGTTGCTTCATCTTCGGCGAAAATTGAGTCTGCACTCAATGAACCTTCACGCTTGGGAGGGGCTGTTGCTCTGCGGGTGATTTTCGGCTTTGCGGTCTCGGACCGGCCACCGAAGAAGAAATTCTTGATGGAGGACAAGGCAGACGGTTTGGATTGCTCCTCCGGTTTCTCGTTAGGCCCATTGCTGCCGTCATCCTGAGCACGGCGAGGGAAGGAATATGTCAGGGTGCGTCGAGGGACGAAAGTAACACCTCTCCGGGCTACACAAATGTGTCAGGGACAAAAGAGTATTACAGGTGACGGATAAAGCAATTGGAAGGGTAATGACTTACCTGACCGGATCAGTTGCCCGTAGGGATATACAGCACCCATTGTGGCCATGACAAGCGAGCGTTACCAACCCCCGGAGCGAACCTGATATTCGGAGACTGAAGGGAAAATTGCAACCGGAAAGTCGAGAGCACATGATCCGCGTTTCTTGGCTGCGGAGTGGGTTGACATGGTCTACCGTACACTGTGGCTAGCGGATCAAGCCACACTTTTGTTTGCTTTGAGGCTTGACCGGCGCCAGCAACCTTTTAGTTCTAGCTCTCAGACGGCGGTCCTAAGTTCTAACTCCTTGCAAGTTCGGCAACTTTTTGCGATTTGCTTGCAGCTAGTCTAGTCTACCTGTAGACTAAGTTAGTCCCTTGCTAAGTTTCTAGGCACTTTCATAGTAAGAGTCCTACCACTACGGAGTACCTCTTCATGCAAAATGACCTCATCATCAGACTAGTGTCGGTAAGTTTCTGCTGCTGTCGGTTAAAGCGGCAGCCCTTCAAATGTCTGCCTCCTACTTAGTTATACGTGGCTGTGCTGAGGTAATTTGTCCAGTTGCAAAATGATGCAGTGATTGCTTGCTTGAAATACTACATGACAGCCAGTGTTCCATTGAACACCTATACCTGAGTCGTCATGGCTTCATCTGTTTCGCTCAACCATTATCCGATCGTTTGCAGCTCCTAAAATGGGATGTGGATGATTGATGATTCGAGCCACAGGCCAACTCAGACATATCCACCATCCTCGACTGTTGACTAACAGATTCAGCCGACAAGTTCATAACAGGGAAGGGGACGCCCTCCTCGGCGCACAGGGCAATGCAAGTGGCTGTTGATCATGGGCACGTGATGCTGCTCAAACTCCAGTTGTAAAGCAGCTTCAGATCCAGGTCTTTCAGGTAGGCCTCATCGAAATGAAATCGAGCAGCAGGGACCTAGGCTTGTCATCCATAGCAATACACCTAAGCCTTGTAAAAGCATTCTGTAGATTTGATCACTACGCCAAGGCAGCTGTTGTATTGTCTTTTAAAACCATTGGTTACACAATCCGCTCGATCCAAAGGAGTCGAGAACCTGTCGTAGTAATCATCGTCAAAACTCCTGCATAGTAGTACGGGAATTCTACGTAGTTCAAATTTCAGGTCGACGATGTTGGCTAAAGCCTTGAGGATTGTTCAAGCGTTCATTCCTGAGCTAGGTGGCTGATCACTACTACGCTTGTTGTCGCATAGTACTCATTGGTACCTCAGGTATCTATCCCATGCTGCGAGCTCTTTTTGTCCTACTCCCATCAATCTCTTCTTCAGATCCGTGGAAGTGACAGTCTCTTGCTTTTTGCTGCACTGCGCTTTTCTCAACCTCTTTCTTGTCGCCTGTCCTTTTGTAGGTCTCTATTTCCCCATATTTTCCCGTCATCGTGACCGCCGCTTACCCGCTTTTTAGCTCTCGACCTGGATAGCTTGGTCCCCCCTCCTCTCTCTCCCCTTCGGCTTTCTCGCTCGCCCCGGTCGTCCCATTTTCCGTCCCAGAAATCCTTGTTATTTTTGTGCTCAAGCATCAACGTATACAGTCAAGAATCAACTACTCAAAGGGGAGACAAAGAGAGAGAGAAAAACGGAACAAGAGGAAATTTACTCACGTGGAGGGAAGAATCCTCGGTCCTAATCTCTCCATTTGCGCAGTTCTTTTGTGGTTTGGAACTTTTTCCGCACCACTCGACAAGAGTCCTGCTTCCTAAGGCGCGATCGAGGCTCTGGCCAAAGCAGGAATGGACTCGTTGATGAGGCTATCATCAGTTGTCCTCTAATTTTCGAATCCATTTCGTACATTCCTTCCTCTTCTTTTTCTTGGGGTTTGCGTCCGCGCCAGCGCGTTAACTGGCGATTTCCATTTGCCTTCGCCTTCGTTCTCCATCATCAAAGCCTTTGGTAAAAAATATCTCCATTATGGATATAAACTCACTTCTTTCGCCAGACTCGAATCCTCAATCTGGGCGTTCAACCCCTGGAAACGGATCGATGTCTGCCAACAATGCTCCTGCCGCGACCTCACGTCCACCGAACAAGCCGCTACGGAAAGGTCGCACAACTTCCGCACGGCCAGCGATGACTTCATCTCCTCTTGCGCATCACGTATATGCCCCTTCGCAATTAAACGACCCTTCCCCGCCGGCGACGAGTAGTCCGAGTGCGGGTCCGAACATGGGAGGAGGAAATGGCACGCCTCCGTCTGTTGATCTGCCTCCATCCCGACAAGCATCCACGCCAGGCATGGATACCCTTGCAGATTTGGCGTCAATGCAACATCATCAGCCCCAGCGTTCCAATACCTCCATTTTGCGGGGCACCGAGTCCTATGAAAGCCAACTATCGCCATCCACCATGTACCCTCACGTTAACCCGATCTCTCATAATACACCTACTCCCAGAACTTCGTTTGACATCGCAATGTCGGAGGGTCCGAGGGAAGGGGCTGCTCGGAGGAATTATGCTGACACTTCTTTGCGGCCCGATGCTCAAAGGATGGCGACGGAGCTCTTCGCTCAGATTCAAGACAATCCGCATATTTACGAGGCGCACGTGAATTTTATCCGTCTGCTCCACGAGGGCTTTGTCAACCATGTTTACCCGCCCAATAATCCGGATATCCACGGCGACCCAAGAAAATACGATCTCCTTAGGGATATGCGCACTGCCCGGGAGGAGATGGACAAGCTGTTCGCCATGGGTGAGGATCTCTGGGCGGAGTGGATTCAGGACGAGAGTATGCTGGCGCAATCGGTGGAGGAACGCATCGCGGTGATGGAACTCTGCCAGCGATCAATTGAGGAGGAGTACGGTAGTACCAAGCTATGGACCATCTACGGTGAATGGGTACTATACCTCTACAACTCCGCAAACGGGGATACGGGTTCGAACCAATGGTCCGAGGAGGACAAGCTGGTCGGTCGTGAGGTCTTTACCTGGCAATCAGTTTTGGATGTGTGGCAGCGAGGTGCCGAGGCAACCCGATGGAGGATTCACGATAGCCACCTGGTCTGGGATCGATTTTTGGACCTGCAAGTCCAGGACCTTTCTCGTCGCCCATCGCAAGAACGTGCCAGTCAAGTAAAGGGCTTCTTCGATGCCCGCTTGCAAACCCCACATGCTACCTGGGACCAGACCTTCCAGGCCTTTTCGGGATTCGTGTCGACATACTACAACGCCAACTACGAGGAAATCATGGCCGACACGGCGGGTCGACTTGCTACGCCAATCAAAGAGAAGTACAACGCGCGGGAGCATCTGGAGATCAAGTTGCGCAATGCCGTCGATGCTGGCGAGTTTGGCCTGGAGTGGGCGGCGTACTCGGAGTACATTGAATGGGAAGTGAGCCGACACCGGCGGAAACGCCAGTCGAATTTCGATCTTGTGAACGCCATCTATCAGCGTGCAGTCCTACGTTTCCCGACCGACTCCAACCTCTGGGAGGACTATGTCATGTTCCTCATCGACCAGAATACGCACGGTAACGCGAGAGCGACCACAATATCGACGCTCGAAAGAGCCACCAGGCATTGCCCATGCTCTGGTACCCTTTGGTCGCAGTACCTCCTAAGCTCCGAGCGGGAAGGACAATCTTTCCAGAAGATCGCTGACATCAAACACAAAGCCACAAGTACTGGCTTGCTGGACGCCGGCGGTATGGAGGAGGTACTGAAAGTCCATACCGCCTGGTGCAGCTACCTTCGTCGGCGCGCCTTTCTTTCAGATTCGACCGATGAGGATCTGGATGTTGCCGAGGTTGGCATCCGATCCGCCATCGAAAGTGTACAGGAACTCGGAGAGAAGAAGTACGGTCGCTCATACCAGGGTGATCCGCTGTTTCGCCTCGAACGCATCTATATCCGCTACCTGAGTGAAAGCGGCAGCTGGGACAGTGCACGCGAAACCTTCAAGGGGCTGGTCGGTCGCCGTGGCAATAGTTACGAATTCTGGCTCACCTACTATCACTGGGAGCTGATCTCGTGGAGCAAATTTGTACAGGGAGAAGCGACGGCGGATGCGGCTCGGCGGACTCCCAACCCCAGCTTTGCAACTGCCGTGTTGAAACAGGCCATCAAGCGGACAGACCTAGATTGGCCCGAGAAGATCATGCAGGTCTACGTCGCGCACTGTGAAGATTACGAGGACTCGGACGAACTCCAACAGGCTATACTGGAGACCAGGAAAGCCATGAAGGCCATCACCGCACGGCGAGAAAAGGAAGCTGCGGCCGCGTTGCAGCAACAGCAGGCGGTGGCGGCCGATCTTGCATCTCAAGCAGAGAAGCGTAAGCGCGAGGATGACACTGGAGTAAACGGCTATCCCAGCAGTAAAAAGGCCCGTGCCGAGGAGCCAGCACCAGCACCAGCACCAGCACCCCCTGCGCCGCAACCCGAGCCTGTCGCACTCCGGCGCGACCGCGAAAATGCCACAGTAGTTGTCAAGAATTTGCCTCACCATATTACGGAACACCGTGTCCGACAGTTCTTCCGTCATGTAAGATTCTCCCCTGGTTTTCTGTTGCCTTCACTTCCTCATCTGACTTGGACAGTGCGGGACAATCAAAGGCTTGAAGATGCTGCCAGGCGACGATGGAAACTCTGAGACCGCCATCATTGAGTTTGAAACAAGAGAGGAAGCTCTCGTGGCTCAGACGCGTGATCAGAAGTTGCTTGACGATAACGCTATTGAGGTTCATCTTGGCTCCGGATCCACATTGTTCGTGACGAACTTTCCATCGACCGCTGATGAAAGTTATATCCGAAATCTGTTCCGCGAGGTAGGCACCTGCCCAACAGCTCCATCTAATGGGAAACTAACCAGTCTTAGTATGGCGAGATTGTCGATATACGCTTCCCATCTCTCAAATACAACACTCATCGACGATTCTGTTACGTGCAGTTCAAATCCTCTGGGGATGCCCATAACGCGACCACGCTCAATGGCACCCGGGTTGGAAGCGACCTCAATCTGGTAGTCAAGATCTCAGATCCTACGCGTAGAGAGGACCGTCATGGACCTGTTTACGAAGGACGGGAGATTCACATTTCCAACATTGACTGGAAAGCCAATGAGGGTGACCTCAAGGAAGTGTTCCAAAAGTATGGCACCATCGAGACGGTGCGGATTCCAAGAAAGGTCGATGGTGGCAGTAAAGGGTTTGGCTATATTGTCTTCTCCACCAAAGTATGTTTTCTGGCCATCCGGCTACTGAGTTTTATAGCTAATCTCTCGAATAGGAGGAGGCAGAAGCCGCCCTTGCTATGCATGAACAAGAATTCCGCTCGCGCCCGCTACAGGTCCGAATCTCGACCCCCCAGGGTGCTAAACGAACTGCAACCACTATCGTGAACCGCGTCCAATCCCCTGCAGCTGAGGCGAATGGGACCAAAGCGCCATCAGTCGAGCCTGAAGGCACAGCCAAGGAGCGCTCGGCGCGGACCTTGGGGCTCATGAACGTTCCCGACACGGTGAATGATGCGCGGATCCGTGCAATGGTTGAACCTTATGGACCGCTCATCAAAATCGTCCTGCGCCCTGATCATCAAGGGGCTATTGTCGAATTTGCGGATGTTAACCATGCCGGCAAGGCTTCGCTCGAACTCGAAGGACAGGAAATTGCTCCGGGTCGAAAATTGCATGTGGGCACGGTCTCGGAACTGCTGAAGCAGTCGGCGGAGAAGAAGGGGGGACCCGGTCAGGCGACAAAGTCAAAGGACAAGGCCACATTCCTCCAGCCGACCGGACCGATCAAGCGTCCTGTGCAACCCGGTCAGCGCGGTGGCCGAAGAGGTGGATTGGGGGTGAAGCGGGTCAGCATTTCTTCGACAGCCTCGCAGGCGGGCAGCACGAAAGCCGAAGAAGGCGCCAAAAGCGCGACGACGATGACGACCACGAATGTGACGACAGAAAGCGGCGCTCACCCAGTTGGCGGTGAGAAGACGAGGAAGAGTAATGATGATTTCCGTGCCATGATCCAGCGGAATCGAGGCGAATGAGAGTAAAACCTGTGCGCGGCGCTTCGGATTGTAATGACCGGGTTGGCGTTTTTTCCCTTTCTCCTTCCACTGATGTCCCTCTTCTGGATGGTTCCCTGCCATGGTGACCTGAGCCGGAGAGTGCCCTCGCTGTCGTGATGGTTTCCTTGATCATGCCATTCTACGCCCGCCTTGTGGAAAGGCGAACGATGCTCTTTTGGCGTCTGTAGATTACCACTACACTTCTTTTCCTGCGTTTCATTTTTGTTTCTTGTCTGAGTCGACATGTTGCCCATCTAATGATTCTTCTTCGTGTACCTGACCGTTGACCGGGGAGATACCGCAGGCATATGCGGGCTGGGTGATGGCTGCTGATACTGCCTCTGCTATTGACTTGGACTGTTATCCTACATTGAGTGGCAGGCGACATTATATGATCAAATGAAAGACATTGCTATCTCTGTCATGCAGACTTTCCTCAGTATAGCGCAACTGTATACCTGGCATTGTTGGAGATCAATTCATTTGTTTCCCGCAATGCGCTACGCTATGCAACCCCCGCAATGACTGACGCTTTGACCGACCAGATAAGCCTGTTTAGAAGTAAGTTAACTGTCTGAGACCGGCCGTTCTCCGTAATTCTATTATCCTGCGACAGACCGCAAGATTATACTCGAGTCTAGATCAGGTAGAAGGAGAGATGATTGGACGGGAATGGGGATGATAATCGCTCGGTTGATCGACGGGTCATTCGGACAGAGGAATTCACCAGCAGGCTCTGATGACCATTGATTAACATAAGTGGGATATATCTTAACTAGTCGGGGGCTAGACTAGGTAGTACTGAATACATATCTGGCTATGTTGCGGTGATTCTGGTCGAATCATAAGAAGAGACTATGTGGGATGGTGGTACTTTTGTGAGAGGTATAAAGGTGTGTGTACTGTGTACCTATGACGCTGCCTTGAGATATCCTCCTCCCCAAGCCTCATCATCGGGGAGTTTCCTCAACTTCCTCCGTTTCCACCTTCTTCCATCATTTGAATGACTGCACCCAAGTCCTGTCTTTTCATCATTATTTATTAGAGTTGTTTCCTAGATAATCCCTCGTCTCACTGATTGAATTGTCGACATCAGAGCCGGATTCCCCACCTCGCTCAGCTCGTCCTGCCTGATTGTCTTGTTCACCACTTAACCGTCTTTGGGTTCCAGCGTTCGACACTCGAGTCCATTTTCTAATCAATACTATCAGTCCTTCCTGTCGCATCGACGTATCCACTCTGTACCATACTCTGGTTGAGTGACAACCCTCGCTGCCGGTCAGTGAGCGTTGACCGTCCCCTTCCGACCATAGCAGCAGTGTCGTCATCGCCCGCTGCCCTTGCTACACTCTCCTCTTGGTCAGGTCAATTCGACCGCGTACGCCAGAATGGATTTCCATCTCGTCCCTCGAGGAACAGACAGGAATTACACAGGTTTCTTGACAAAAACCATCGTCTACGCCAGCACCTTGCTTTTATTTCTTGCTGGTACTTGAACCTCATGCATTACGCCTGGCGACTGGTGGAGGCTAACATACCACAGCATTCGGCCTGACGATCTCATCCATCGTGGTCCCGAAATGGGTCAGCTATCATAGCGAAAAGGTGGGCATACATTTTTTTTACGGGTTGAGGACAGGCTGGACTGGACTGAGTGACTGACTTGGCTAGTTCCACTACTCCTACGGCCTCCACCGTCGCTGCTCCTCCCTCACCAACGTCTGCGAGAGTTTCCCCCAGCGCGAAGACTGCCATGGCGAAGACCGGTACTTTTGCTCCATGTGGCGGACCGTCGGGTTCCTGATGTCGTTTGCTGTGGTGCTGGAGGGGATGAGCGTGGTTGCGTATCTGATTGTGCTGTCGGGCGGGAAACGGCTGCGCGAGTCGGGGTGGAAGGTGCTGAGTCTGCTGATTATCCTGTCTGCGCTTGTGCAGGCGGCGAGTATGTCGATTGTCGTAAGTCTATCTCACATTCTCGTTCGTTCCGTAGTTGACACTGGCGGCAGGCATACTTGTATGACAATGAGGACCGCTTCTTTGTCGGCTGGCGGCTGGGCGAGTCCTGGATTTATTGCACCGTCAGCTGGTGCGTGAGTCTTTTCTGTGCGGTGGCCATGATACTTGCGGCGAATAGTCTTCCGTCGGAGGGGGGATATGAGTTGATTCCGGATCATTCTTAATTGAAGGGTTAAATTTTACTGATTTAGCAGCACACGGCTGGCAAGTTATTGTCTTTTTTTTTTTATGTTGAGGGCTTTTGATATTTGCGGCGTTGTATGTACCAGCCTACAGGCGTCACGATTAATGCTAATGAGAACGCATTCCATTTACTGGATCACCTTTGTACCTTTTGCACCGCTCCCTTCCTACTCACCCTCGACTTCTTGCTCGTGTTCTCCCCATCTTCCTTAGCCTGCTCCAGAACCCAGCTCCGAAACGTCGGCAGAATCTCAATATCCGGAAACAACACCTGCTCTTTACTTTTGCCTGTGCCTTTTGTTTTTTGTGTCAGACGATGCTGCTCCGTCAGATCCTCTCGGATCCGCTCAACGATGGCCCGGATCTCAGCAAACGACTTCCCAGGCCCTGTCTCGGCGCGCAACCACCCAGGAACAGGACACGCTTTGATCCGCGGCTTGCGTCTCTGTCTTTTCCTACCGTCGTCTGACTCCTCTTCGTCATCTCCATACTCCTCCTCCTCATCCTCCTCATCCCCAGAAACCCCTGCAGAGGTAGAAGCTGAGGCCCCACCCCCCCGTCTCCCCTTCCTCAAACCCACCCTCTTCTTATCAGTGCCCTGCCGCTGCTCCGCAGAGGAAATCCTATTCATCTCCCTCCTCCGAAGCACAACCTCGAAACTCTCCACCCCGCCCCAAGCCTCCATCCTCCCCAAACTATCGAGCAGCAGCTCGCACTGCGTAAACGGCCACGCGCGCGAACGGTACCGCGCCCGCTGGTAGTGCTTGCGACAGTAGTGCACCCAGACGGTGGAGGGGAAGAGCTTCGTGGAGGTTTTGTTGCGGCCGAAGATGTGGGAGATTAGTTTGCGGGGGTGGCTGCCTCTGCCGGAGGCGTTGGCACTACCGGGGGTGGAGGGGGAGGGGGAGATTGTGGAGGTTGTGCAGGGGTGGGTGAATTCGCAGGGGGGTTCCTGGGTCTGTTCTTGTCTTGTAGGAGTAGGATGGGGGGGTTGTTTGGATGGTTTTGCTTTTGGTTTGGGGGCCATGGTTGTGGATGCATTGGGGGTGGGAAGAGGAGGGGGTGGACATGGGATATGTTATATATGATTGTTGGGGCGTTGTTTATCCCATTGTGCTAGCATTGTTGAACAGTTGAAAGAATTGTTGACTCATGTATTCACTAGCTACAAGCAGGTCAGGCGATGCCACATTCATAAATCAACCCAAATCAACCAACGCCATTGTTGCAATTTGTCCGTTTCTCGGAATTTATCCGTATAACCCATAGATCTCATAATCACATAGCGTACGTTATCGTCTTGGGAACGTATTTTCGCGGCGCTCGGACGACGCTACACCCCACAGACCCCAGGTCAATGCTGTTCAGCTCCCGGCTCAGTGCATCCATGCCGGTGTGGCCGCCCGTCACGGGGTAGCTTGGGCCCGCTGGAGGTGCAATAGGTACTTTGGCCGGGATGGGTGGCCCGACGTTGGCGTACAGGCTGGAAACAGAGTGCGAGGAGCGCGCACTCGGCGCTGGCGAGACGGACTTTCGGTGCGAAGATCGCGGCCGTGCCGCCTCAGTCGTGCTATAATTTCGTCCATGTCCATATCCTCCGTACTCCTGGCGACCACGCTCGTACTCTGCAACAGCGGATGTCCCGCTGGACCGGGGACGGGGTCCTCCCACCTCCCTGGTGGAAGGATGCTTGAAGCGGAGAATCACCTCGGGCTTTCTGTTCTTGCGTTCCGGTTCTGGCGCCCAAGTGTCAGAAGGAAGGTGATCCGAGGGATCAATCTCGCGCCCATCGTCACCAATGATTGGTCCTGAGGTATCCGGCTTCATCTCGTTGAGCCGGGCCGTCTGCATTGCCTGTGCGACTGTCTCATACGCCGGTGCCGTGTCGCGGGTGACGGCAGACCGTGCCGCGTTTGGATTCAGCGCATCGTACGAGTCTGGTGAGAAGGGGGTCTGGGACACCTGGCGTTCCGCCGTGGAGGGTGGTCGCGGACTGACCGACTTGCGCCGAGGGACGATGCGAGACTCGGAACTGACAGACTTCCTAAGAACCAAGGAACGACGGGGATCGGTGTCGTCAGGGTAAGGTAGTGAGGCAGAATTCGATTCGGCAGTCCGAATCATGGCGTCCTCCTCGAAGAAGCTACGCCGGCGGTTCACTTGGCTTTCCCGCGCGGTACGGGAGGCCTCCACCTCGGCAATGGCCGGGTCAAAGCCGGCGACCAGGCTGCGCGGCACCGATGGATTCTTCATACGAGGGTGGTCCTGTAGGCGGTTCCCGTGCGATGGGCGAAGCGGCTGGAGCGCGGTCATGTCGTTGGTATTGCGGGGGGACGGTGCAAACTCTGGAGAGTAAGCCTTGTACGAGGAAGTTGGTGACGGTACTAACTGTTGACTCGGCTGGACCAGGCCTGACCGATGGGCTGGCGGCGGAGGTGGAGGTCCCTCCTCTTCTTCGTCGTCCACGCGGGGCTGCATTGCTGCATATTCCGGGTGGAAGTTTTCGTGCGCAATGGAATTGCGATGCCGGCTGTTGATGCTCGCTACCGAGTTGCTATGCAGACGGTAGTGATGTTCCGGTTCCGGGGCAGGAGGAGCGCCATGCGCGTAATCTACGGGAGAGTGATTGTACGATCTCGTAGATGAATGAGGGGAGTATTGAGCAGCTTCGTGTCCATGACTATGACGCAGCACATCTCCCTCATATCCGTACTGTTCTGGCGCAGGGAATTGGCGGTTGCTGTGATGGCTGGTGGGGCGAGAAGTGGATTCGTATGCATGTCTTGGGTGCATGTCCGGCCCTGGTTGGGACTGGTACTCTGGTCTGCTCGGTGGCATACTGCGGTAATCCGGAGCCGGTCCATTGCCATAGCCGGAACGTGGCCGTGCATGCTGCCGATTGTCATAGGCATCGGGTCTCTCACGGTACGGATAGCTCTCTTCTTGTGGAGATCGCCTGAGAGGTGCTGGTGCGGGATGGGCCGGCGCCGCGTGATTCCACTCTCGATGAAAGTCGTCAGGCGTGTCATACACCTTTGCCGGGAGCGGAGCCTGCGACGCGGATGCATATGCATCGTACGGAGCCTCAGGTGCTTGTCTTTGCGAATAGCGCATGTGATCGGCGCCATTCATGGTAGGCATGGAATGAGCATGCTCGTGATGCACCGGTCTCACTGGAGCAGGATGAGACGGCACAGGCGCCGAGGGAGCCTTTTCGGGGGGTCCCGGACGCGCAGGAGTCGAGGCGGTAGGGTCGCTAGGAAGCGGTCGTCTCTTGACCTTCTCGAGCTGGCGAGGGCCCGACAGAGAAGACGACGAGCTGACAGGAGCGGCCGGGCCCGGTCTCGAACCACTGCTCTTGGCATGGGCCTTCTCGGCGGCTTGCGTTCGCCGTTCAATCACCGCCTCGTCTTCTGGCCTGGTATCGTAGTAAGTCATCTCGATGCGAACTTCACCAGCATACTTTCCTCGGTACTGCAACGGATGCCATTGGTCGCTCTGGCTTCCTCCGGGGATGATCAAGTCTTTCAGATCGATCCAGGTTTCGCCGATCAGGTCGGTCTTTTTGTCATCGTTGAAGATCGATACCTTGAGTCTGAAGTAGTCGGGTGATTCGTGCACCGTGAATCGAAGCTCATGGTCCCTGGAATCATAGTCAGCATGGTTCGACCGCTCCAGGGAAAATGGGGAGCTACCATTTCGGCGTCTGCCCTCCTCGCAGGTCAGTCTCTGTCTTCTTCGCTTCCTTCCCTAACCGCGCAGCACAGTACGGATTCTGTTTCCCCATAGTCTTTCTATTCGGCAGATTCTTCGCGCGGTCAATGACGGCGACCAGCGTGCCGATTGCGGGACCATCCACCGACATGTCAGCATAGATGCCGGCGGCATGGTTGATATTGGCTATCCTGGGTAGTTTCGAAGCCATGATGGCACCTTTCTCTCTGAAAGAGAGTTCACACCAAGGAGAGAATCAAATGAGATCTAGAGAAGCTATGTAATCATCAATTGACGGAGAGAGTGTAGTGTGCTGGGACTGAGGGGCGTAGTGAAGGTCAAGAGTATTGATCAATCGGAAGTACAGATTGTGGACCAACGCTGCAGGTTGGAATTAGGAAGAAAAAGCCAAGCGAGAAGCGGATGATAAAACGAGCAAGTGACCTCTCGCTTGACTTGCGAATGATGCAGGAGAGAGGAGAGGAAAGATGAAGAAGAGCAGCTGAGAGGGGAGGATGAGGAGGACCAAAACAAGGCGATAAGCAAAAGCGGGTGGGATCGCGATAACCCATACACAGTACGTCGTAATGCAGTGACCCAGCGTTGTGATTGGCTGGGGTGGATATAGTGGGAGGCTGGGAGGAGGCTGGTATTAACCTATTTGCAAAATCTGATTGGTGGACGGAAGCTGTTCCTGCATGAAATCCGGGTCTGAATACAAGCCTTACGGTATTTTACGCCCTGTTTCCAGCTCCCAGCCACAATCGATACTGACATGTCTCACTCCTGCCAGCTCGTCCTGACCACCATGAAAGATGAAGCCTATTCTGTAATCAAGGAATTTACATCCGTACCAGACGATGGTTATCATCCAATGATTCTGACTCGGGATTGTACCGAGTACAGCGACAGGGAGACTGTTCCAGAGCTGACGATCATGGGCCAGGCTGAGACAGCAATCGTACCTAATCCCTGACTGTTACCAGTCCCACATGAGTTCTCCACCAAGGATCGCCTTGCAGCCTTGGGCACATATATCCATCTAGCTAGACCACAACAGTCTACCCACAAAGCTATTTCATTCTGTAGTCTATCCAGAATTATATGGAGATGATGAACGAAAAGATCAAAGATACGAGTCCAGCCTGGTTATCTCTCGAGTATCCTCCGTACTCAATGCTACTATCGCAAGCTGACAGACGCAAATAGAACTAGAATCTTGCTGCCTGTCTGAAACTCTGTCCACAGCCACAACCGAGTGGATTCGATTCGGCACGTTAGCTATAGAAATTATATTGCCTGGTCAGTGTCTGCTCCGCTATCATTAAACATGCGGGGCCCGTTGGGTAGGATTCCGCATCAATCGAGCCTTGCGCCACCGGGCCATGCTTGGCCGTTGCATTACTTGTTCTGCAGAGTTCTATATAGTGATTACGTCTGACCTCCTTCGTCTGGCTACGCCATGAAAGGTGTCGAGTAACAAGCTTAGCTTGACCGGAAGCGTCCTCGAGATCTGTAGAGAAGAGGTAGGTCAATTCTCGAGCCATCCATTTCCAATCTCCATTTCGGGACTGTAAAATCTTCTCTGTCCACTATGCACACCTGCTTGACCGTGGTTTAGTTGCGAGGAATGTTATGTGTCATGCTCAATCCGCATGGACAGAGAAGCATGCCTCGTTCATCTATGTAAGGGATATGTACCCTACAGGGATTAATCATGACTGTACCTCCTTCTACCTTGCAGTTTAACCATATGAAATAAAGTAGGAAGATGAAGATCTCTCGCTGCCTGTTTGCGTGAGAAGAATATAAACTAAACTAGGCTCAGATTAAACTGAAGAGTACAAGAAGTTGAGAAGGCAGATGATCAAATATGACAGCCTGACCGAATAAGCGCACGGCCCCTTGAAGAAGTATATCATTTGCTTCTTTTGACAGTTGACACTTCGACCTCCTGACAGCTAATGCGGGAGATATAATTGCTTTTTCTTACCGATGTATGTATTTTGGCATTAAGCAATGGCTTTCTGTGGTTCCAATATCAAGCTCATTAACTCTCCATGCCCGCTTCTTTTACGTTTTGTGGCTTCCCAACGCCTGGGGCTCATGATCGCATCATGAAAAGGCCAACTGCAGCTTTGACAAGATTGGATAATGAATTGGCTGCACAGTTGAAGCCGTAGGTGTAAATAGATACTTGTTGATTGTCTCGTCTGACAGCTAGAGTGATACCACTACCTCGCTTGGTAAAGGTCATACAGTCGCTAGGAAATAATAGCAAGACAAGGCACTCAAAAACCAAAAAAGAAGCGACAAGGCACAAGCGACTGCCGAGGAGGAGATAGAGGAGCTGGCCATGGCCTGCGATCTAGCTGTAGGTAAATCGCTGTGCCTTGTGCTGGACATTTTCATTCTCTGCCATCTCAGCAACACCATAAAGGGCTCCCAGGCCCCAAACTCCGGCCACATCGCATCCGCTATCTGAATCTGAGTATCCTCATGGCACTGCCAGAGCAGAAAGTCACTCAGTCGATACATCCCCGACGATCGGACCACGAGATCCACAGGCGGATTGTCCCCCGTGTGCAGCTTATCCGAAAGCGATTGCGCCGTGATGGCTGTGTGAGGATACTCCTCCACGCACCGTAGCATGGCTCTTGCCATCTCGTCGCGCGACGTGTACGCCATACACACGTTTAAGATTGAACTCCTATTCCGCGTCGCCTCAACCGCTTCTGGACTGCGTCTCTAGTCTTTTCGTCCAACATCTCTAAGCGGCCCAACACCCGAATCGAAAAATCCCACTGTCTCCGCAAATCCGCCGGGAGCAGAGTACATGGCGATCTGCTCTCGGAATAGAGCCATGATGGCCTCGATTTGGTCTCTCGGCCGCTTGAAGTTTGCGATGCTGAACGCATATAGTGTGATCACCTTGATCCCGATGATAAAGCCGGTTTCTACAACCTTCAGTAAGTCAGTCAGTCAGTCACCTGCTTCCAGCACAGATCTAGGTATTGGGTTCCTGCACGTTACCTCTTTTATTGCTGCCGCCCCGAGTTCATGACCTTGCTCGATTGGCATACCGCGTGATCGCGCGAATCGTCGATTCCCGTCCTTGATGAATGCGACGTGTTGAGGGATCGGACCTTGTCGGGCGATGTCGATCAGAAGGTCTCGAGCCCAGTTCGATTTCAACGCCTTCTTCATCATGGATTCTATATACATCGTTGCGGTAGTACAGTTGTTTTGCACTGTTGCTGCTTGAAAGACTGAGGATTTGTGCTGGTTTAGAGTAAAAGCCATTGCGAAAGTAGCAGACAACTGACTGTGCCTCTACTACGACCAGCACATCAGAATCCCCTCAATCTTGGAACCAGCTCATATTACTGAAGTCTAGATCCTTGGATCGACAGAAATTGTCGCTCATCCGCTGAGTTGTTCAACTAACGATGTATACTCAAATAGTCCGGTGCACCAATTACATAGCTGCCAATAAAATTATGCTGTGAAGAATCCCAATATCCACAATTCCGACGATATCCTGCAAGCCCTTAGCTTCAGCCACACTAGCATCTTGACAAATCCGACCAACTCAGTTCTTCGCGCAGTTTTTGGCAAATTCCCGGAAATAGGTCGGGACCTTCTCTTTCCACAAGGCCGGGTTCGAAAAGAAGTCATACTGCGTTTGGCAATTCGTCGTCAGAACGGGCCACAGGCTCAAGGCGTTGTCCAGGAGAACCCTCCACGCGTTGGCCTTGACACACTTCGCCAGGGACTGCAGCTCGGCGGTATTCATGGTGCACAGGTCGCCCTCTCCGTCTGCGCATTGTGTCCGGGCCATGTCGATAATGCTGTCCACCCCGCTGATGTAGGCGTTGTTCAGCTGCGGTGTGCCCATGTTGGGGGTTTCGGCTTCGATAATGGAAATGGCAAAGTTGCGCAGGTTGGGCTCGTACTCGGAGAGCTTGACTTTGCAGCCTTTGTTGCAGATCTCCTGCTGGGCGTGGCCGAAGAAACGCTCGACGTCGACGCCTTGGATAACGGATGGGAGGTTCCAGCAGGCTGTGGAGGGGAGGTTGACGGCTGATGCGAGGCTAGCACTCATGGTGAGGGTGACGAGGGCGGGGACTGAGAAACGCATGATGACGGTCTGGCAACGCTTGCAATGCAAATGCAGAATGTATTGATGAGATGGAAATGCGCGGCTGCAGCTGTCCAGGTCCACGGGGAGGGAGGAGGTATTTATATTCGCTCTCCCGAAGCTAGGTAGGCTTATTGATCCTCACGCCGATTCTACGCTGGGCAGCGAATATGCCGCTACTGGGGGTGCGCAAGCCACAGAGTGACATGTACAACTTCTCGCATAGATCGGCATCTACTACTGGAGGCAAACGACGCCTTGAAGAAGGAATGGCAGACCATATGCTCCGTATGTCACATCCCATTGCACTGGTGTCTTCCAACCACACATATCAGCTGAGCCAACTGATATTTGCTTTTATTCCCTGAGCTGGCTCATTGGCCGAGTAAGCCACTTCTGCAGTTTGACTGTTGTTGTATAGAATGCAGCTAATTGACGGAAGCATCACAATCTAGGCAGCTTGGCTTACTAGGCAGCTCTGTGATCCGCCTCTAAGCTTTTGGATGGCACTTGAATAGAGTCAATCTGCTTGTGTCCTAAATCATTGTACTGAATCATTGTTCTCTAACAAGGGGTCTGGAGTCGTAGATCTTCCTGTAGGATTTCCAGTCGTCATGCAACTAAGATTTGGGGAGGTAGTATGCATCTGGCTCGGAGCTTAGTCTTCCAATAGTTATGTTTATCGGGAGAAATGGATTGAGGCATCTGCGATTAATTAGGGCTCTGATTGATGCCTCAGGCATAAGACAAAATTAGAATACCGGAGGTGTATTCTTACACCGCCAAATACACAATGAATACAGACAAATTACTAGCGGTATCTGCCAATCGGCGTTGCGATAGAACTTTTACTTTTTTGATGTGATAAAAAACTTCAAGATCACCAGATTCAACAGCTTCAACCAACACACCACGCCAGCACTGAGGACGAATATTCTCTCAACTCGTTGATAATCCGATATCGTTCCGATCGATAATAAACAGCGGAAGCAGCCATGGCTGCCCCCGTCCTCCCCCTGCAGCAGGTCAAGCTGCCTGCGCTGCCCTCAACCCGCTTGACGCCAGAGCAGCAGTACTGGAAGACCTTCAAGAATCCGCTCCTCATCCCCTCTCCCGCCAACGGTCCCATCAATCTCATCACGCAGCCGTCCGCTCCTTCATCCGCCTCCGCCTTCCCGTCCCTCACCCAGCCGCCCGACGTCTTCACCGTGACGACCGGCGCCCGCGTGCAGATCTACTCCATCCGCACCCGCAAACTCCTCCGCACAATCACCCGCTTCGACGATACCGTCCGCGGGACAGATGTGCGGCCCGACGGCCGGGTAGTCGTGACAGGCGACGACACAGGCACAGTGCAGGTCTTCGACGTCGCGTCGCGGGCGATCCTGAAGACGTGGAAGGACCACCGCCAGCCGGTGTGGGTGACCAAGTTCTCGCCGAGCGATCCTACCTCCGTGCTGAGCGCCAGCGACGACCGGACCGTGCGGCTGTGGGATCTGCCGAGCGAGAGCGCCGCGCGGACGTTCCTGGGGCATACGGACTATGTGCGTAGCGGGGCGTACATGCCTGGCTCGCTGGCGGCGTCGGGCTTGGTGGTGTCGGGGAGTTATGATCGGACGGTGAGGCTGTGGGATCCCCGCGTGGAGAACCGGGCGGTGATGACGTTTAAGATGGCGGCGCCGATTGAGAGTGTGTTGCCTATGCCGACGGGGACGACGCTGCTGGCGTCGGCGGAGAATAAGATCGCGGTGCTGGATATTGTGGCGGGGAAGCCGCTGCATATGATTCAGAGTCACCAGAAGACGGTGACGGCGCTGGCATTGGCGTCGAATGGGGAGAGGTTGCTGAGTGGTGCGTTGGACGGGCACATGAAGGTGTTTGAGACGACTGGGTGGAATGTTGTGTCTGGGTCCAAGTACCCCTCTCCGATCCTATCGCTGCGGGTGATCACGTCTGGTGTCGCGCGGGAGGACAAGCATATCGCGGTAGGCATGCAGTCGGGCCTGTTATCGATCAAGACCCGGCTGTCGGGCCAGCAGAAGATCCGGGAGCGTGAACGACGCAAGGAGATGCAGGCATTGCTTGAAGGCAAGCTTGAAGAGCACGACCGGAAGGTAGCCAAGCAGCAGAAACTGCGCGGGTCAGGCTGGGAGAAGCGGCTGCGCGGCCGGAATTTCATCGGCGAAGGCGTGGAGATCGTGATCGAGGGCCAGGACAAGAAGAAGCGCAAGAAGGAGCAGACGTGGGAGTACGACCTGCGCAAGGCGCGGTACTCGGCGGCGCTAGACCAGGTGCTGGCGTCGAGCGACAAGACGGCGCAGCTGACGCTGTTCACGGCACTGCGGCACCGCTCCGCGCTGCGGGCCGCGCTGCAGGGCCGCGACGAGGAGACGCTGCAGCCGGTGCTGCAGTGGGTGCACAAGAACATCACGGAGCCGCGGCTGGTGACGCTGTGCGTGGAGGTCGCCATGAACGTGTTGGACATCTATTCGGGGAATTTGGGACAGTCGGCGCAGATCGACAAGATGGTGGAGCGGCTGCATCGGCGAGTGCGCGAGGAGGTGGAAATGGCGCATCAGGCGTGTCAGACCAAGGGGATGCTGGATATGTTGCAGGCCGTATAGCGCGCGCGCGAGCACAGCGAGCAATAGCATTTACGCAGAGGTCAAAAGTGTTTATCTACTACTAGACTTGTTACAATTACGGATACCTGGATGGAGTTAGGGAATGCATCTTTCATTTTCGTCTTTCTTAATCTTATCTCCTATCCAATATAATATCCGCCGCCCTCTCAGCCACCGCATACAACGTCGCCGTGAGATGCCCGCTCACCTGCAGCGGAATCACCGACGCATCTACAACCCTGACATTCTCCGTGCCGTAGACCTTGAGCCTTGAATCGACGACACCCCCTAGTTTCCGAGCCATCATACTCGCCGTCCCGACGGGGTGGTAATTCGGCACAACTAATCAATATCAATCAGTATGCACCTTTTCTCTTTTTTTGTCTGCCAGTTGCAACTCACAAGTCTCTTTAGTAAACGCCATCCATTCTGTATCTGTTGCATTATCATCCAATGCCCTGCCGGGCATCGGAACGGGATGCAGACTCTTCACGGGCCCCTGTTCCCAAAATGATTGCGCTAGTTTCCCTATAGCAATCTCGGTTTGGAGATCAAAGTCCACCTGGAAGAAATTCGGGTTGATGCTGGGTGCGTTTATGTCTTCTTCCCTTGTTGAGGAGAGGTGCACGCTGCCCCGGGAGAAAGGGAGGAGGAGCCAGAAGGCCGAGAGGAGGGTGGTTCCGGACGCGGTGGTGAGGATTTCTGCGATGGTGACGTTGGATTTGAAGATGAGGGCGTGCTGGAGGGTGAGGAGGTGATTTATCGCGCTGCTGTTGAGGTTGTTGGATGAGGATGAGGCGAGGGATTCGGCCCAGGATGGAATGGAGGAGAGTGTTGCTCTGCGGCATGTTAGCCAGTGTGCAAGCCAGACGGAGGAACATACGCAGCTATAGCTTCCAGATCTTCGCCAAAGAGCTGTGATGCCGTTACGAACGTGGCATACGGCGAGGTCCCTGTGATATTGAGGTTTGCCGTGTATAGCAGAGGCACGTTCGCCTGGTCTTGCAGGTTCTCTCCTACACCAGGGAGGTCGATTCGCGTCTCTATCTCGAGTCCTCTGAGCCTGTCTGTATCGCCAACACCTGACGCTTCGAGGATAGGAGGTGTCCGCAGCGCCCCAGCTGACAGTATCACTTCTTTGCGGGTCATTGCAGTTTGCATTTGTCCGTTCTCGTCGAGATACTCGGCTCCCGCCGCCACATGCCCTCCTCCTCGACTATCAGCCCAAAGAATCCTTCTGACAGTCCCCCTAACAACTCTCAGATTCTCCCTCCCATCAACAGGATAATAAAACGCCTTCGCAGAACTACACCTCACATCCTCCTGGCAATCAATCGTCTGAGGCCACACCGACACCCCTTCAACCGACCCCCCATTCGGATCTTTATTCCATCCCACCCCGAGAACCCCCCACGCATCCCTCACCCTCTCCCAAAATCCTG